CCCTCTTCCCCCCTCCGCGTCGCTGTGCTGGACGTCATGAGCATAGCAATCGCGCTGGGAGTCACCACACCTGAAACGTCCTACACAGACATGGCTGCCGGATCAGAGTGAGTAGCGGGAGAAGGCAGCCTTCCATCTGGGAGTGTGGGGGTGCAGATACAGGCAAAATGATGGAAGGATATTGGCAGAGGATGGAAAGCAATCTAGAAAAACTGGGAGTCACAAGCAAGTCGTAACATGTAAGCCAGGTTGAATACCTTTGAGTCCTGTGATTTGAAATCTGTGAAGTTCTGTGTCTGTGCTTGAGAAGATGTCACACTTGGAGAGAAAAAAAGAGTTCAGAGGTCGTGTGTGCTAAACTTCCCAGACTGTCTCCTAGCTGTCACAGTTTGGGGGTTTAAACAAAATTTAATTAATTTATTTTTTAAGATTGTGAGGTTCATAAAATTGAGTCACTGGTATTTCTGTCTGGAAGACAATCTAGCTCACACAATTAATGTCGAAGAGGAGGAAGTGGAGAGAAGCTTGCAAAACAACATTGATTTTACTGTTTCACTCCAGAGGAATGCAGTAACTGATTCTGGTAAAATGTTTTTCTGAGTGCCTTGGGGGTGTTGGTGTCGCAGATAGTAACTGACGATGGATTACGAAGTCATGACACCTTTACCTGTGTGACTGTACCTTAAAAAGCAAAAGCACTTTTTACCTGTAATAGTTGCTTGCAGGAGACCTGTCCTACTCAGTTTAGTATCTTCTCAGAAACTGCTTGAGAGCTTCTAAACATTCTTTCTTCGGCAAATGTTTTGTTCCTGTTGCCTTTGTATGGCAGTGGTCTGCTAGCAGGAGCTCTGGAGAAGCTGTCAGGTCTCGTAGATAATCGCTGCTTTGGGAGTCCTCTCAAGGTCAAGATGCTTGGGCACACAGCTGTTTAATTTGAAGCCTGTGAGCAAGATCAAATCCTCGCTCCTATCCGAATGATCAGGCTTGTAAGACTGCACACTCACTCTCATCCACTTGTTGCGGTTGGTCCTGAGGTTACCTTGATGGTGGAAATGGTCATCAGATCTGGTCTGTTACTATGCAGCAAGGAAGTAACCAGATACTTGTGTCCTTGGGATTATCCAAATGGATAAAGAGTTACTGTTAACTTTAACATGTGTACATTAATGAAAGATCTTTGGTAATAGAAGGTGGTTATTTTCACTGCACAGGTTGTATTTTGAAAAGTGATGCTTGTTGCATAATGTTGTGGTGGGAGTTGTAGTCTGCCCTCTGATTCATGCGCTGAAGAGAGCGTGGGCTCTTCTAAATTCTGGGTGCATGGCTCCATCTAGTGGCTCGCATGTGTTTTCCATTTTGTGCAAAATGGTGATGTACAAATAGGCACCTCCCATGTTGCAGACATACATATCTTTTGACCCTATGGGGTCTTGAAGGATCTCAGGTCTTAAAACTGGGATGATTCAGATGGCATTTTAAATGGCCGTTATTGTTGTCAGTTCTTGTAGTGGTACCTCCTGAAACAGTGCCTCTGTAACCTGTACCTATTTCCCATCAACATCGTTTTGTGTGCCTCATTAAAGGGTTAACATGAGCCAGCAGGCCTACTCTACACTGAATGCTGCCATGGACCTTTGCGATTATGGGCCCCAACTGGCACCCTGTGTTATCAGAGGGCCCGTTTACCGCATCTGCTGTTAAAAGCAGGGCTGTTAATAATAGCTTTTATGGTTTCCGGTTCACGATCAAGGCGTCCAGCGAAGTGAGCAGGCTCCCTTTACAGCCCTCGTGAGAGGGTCTTTCGGTGCTGCTCATTCACGTAGCCAATTCTGTAGCAGGCTGGTGTCAGGTAGCACAGTGGTTAAGAACTTTGAGTAACCTGAATCCTGCCTGTGTGCATTCCTGGCGGGGGGTGGGGGGGGCGGGGGGCTTGGGCAGTTGAACACTTCGGCTCCAGTGAAGAGTTGTGTTTATAATTGTAGAACGCGGTCGATATGGACAGAAACCGAGGCTGGCTGTGGGGGGCGGGGTTGGTTTAATTGTAATGTAGCAGACACTTGTTCTTTTAGATTTTTGATTCAGTTTTCTGTCCATTTATATATAGTTCTGCACTCTCAACCCCCCCCCCCCCCCCCGCCCCCTTATGCTCTGTATCCCTGTAGCCCTGAGTCAGTGGAAGCAAGCCCTGCCGTGAATGAGAAATACCCAAATCACAGCTGTGGGAGCGCTCAGAGCCACGGGTACCGGGGACTGCCCTACGCTGTGAGTACGGCCCTCGTCTGAACACCCCCCCACACTCACACCCTGTAAGTAAGGCTCCAGGTGCGAGTGAATCCTCCCGCTGGCTCCGACGCCCCGTGTGAAGGGTGTTCGTCTGGCTCCTCCTTTTGCTGCCGTTAAATTCCGTCAAAATGGTAGCTGAGATTTACGGTGTGTCCTCGTCCTTCACCTCCCTGCCTTGGGTCAGAGGGAGCTGCTGGTCGAGATGTGAAAAATGCTCAGCTGTTGCAGGAAATTTACTTAAATGAATCCTTTTGTTAGGCCCGCCTCGCCGGTCGCCCTCACGTGACTGATTGCTGTTCGGTACGTCCAGCCAAACGCCCGTCCTTTTTTATTTTATTAAATTTTCTGAGAATTGTGTGCCCTTTCCCGAGTGATGTTTAACTTCTTTTTCCCTGCTGAAGTATTTAAGCGGTGTGGTGATAGGACCGTGGATAGGGTCGGGAGTCAGGGCCCAGTCGACACAGACTCGCGAGGGAGTTTTTCTTTGGGTGTGTGTTGCTGGGCCATTGGTGTTAGGGTGCGGCGCCGTGCCTCACGTGCGTCTTTAGGTGCTGGTGGTAAGACACAAGGCCACGGCTGATCGTGACTATATTCAGCAACCTTTTAAAACCTCCAGTCTTATCAGGGCCATTGCATGATTCATCTTTTTCTCTTTTTTTTTTTTTCTCTCTCTTTTTTTTTTATGCCGGAACGATGCGGTTTCAACGATGCAACAGTCTCATGTTGTGTGTTGCCAGGATCACAACTATGGTGCCCCCCCGCCTCCGACCCCGCCCGCCTCCCCGGTCTCCCAGACGATCATCCCCCGTGTGGAGTTCAACGGCGTGCCGTGCTACGCCGACGCCAACGAGGACGACAACTCGGCCGACAGCGACAGCTCCTCTGACGAGGAGCCGAGTGTGGCGGGCTGGTGCCACTGCAGCTTGACGCAGGATGGCTTCCTAATCAAATGCGACGGCTGCAGGTGCGAGGGCGGGACCCAAGTGCTCTTATATTAATTGGTCATTTTTAATTACTTCTTAATTAAACCCCCCCCCCCCTTCTCCTTAGGGGTTTAGACCGGAGGAAAGGGGTTGATGGGCAGCGGCAGAAAGCAGAAAATGTGTCTGGTAAGTTTCCTTTGGCGAGGAAGGTGAACCGGCTGGCAGAGCACCCCCCGCCCTGGTCCCCCATGACACGTTGCTCTCTTTGCCCCCCCCACCAAAGCCGGCGAGAGCAGCGCCACAGAGAGCGGCGATGAAGAGGTGTCTCCCTCCACTGTATCCTACACCGCCACGCAGCACACACCTACCAGCATCACCCTCACCGTCAACCGCGTCAAGCGCCCCAAGCCCAAGAAGAGGAAGAAGAGCACGGAAAAGGCGCGTGGGGCCCCCAAGCCCAAGAAGATCAAGGTAGGGAGCCCCCCCCCCAGACGTCTTGTGCTCTTAATTCTTCTTCCCCTTGGTTGTTTAAAAATCCTGATCCCCCCCACTCCTGCAGGCTTTCAGGGAGGGATCCAGGAAGTCCATGAGGATGAAGGTAAGTGCCACACCGGTGCGATTCCCCCCCGCCGCGTTGTCTGCAGATCCGGCCCCCTCACCTCACTCTTCCATGTGGTGCAGAATTCGACAATGGATACCAGCACGCTGGACGAGAACACAGCTGAGGGCTGGGAGACCCGGATCCGCCAGTGGACGGACCAGTACGAGGAGGCCCTGGCCAATCAGTATAGCGCCGACGTTCAGACGCTGCTCCAGCAGCACCGAGCTGAGGGCCGGGCCCCCGCCGAGGCAGCCATGGACAACATCAACCGCACTGAACTGGCATGCAACAACACCGTCATTGGCTCTCAGATGCAGGTTGGTGCCAGTGGAGACCATTTCAGCTGCTTTCATACGGCGCTTGTGTCCTGTTTCCTTTTACAGTCAAGACTAATTATTCATTAGTGGGTCTTAGATTTAATTGTGTTTTGGCAAAGGTGGGGGGGGAGCTTCTCCTGCACAGCCCATTTTCATTTTGAATTCAGCAGTCGCTTCTCTCGCTCGGTCCCTCAGCTGCAGTTGGGGAGAGTCACTCGCGTCCAGAAGCACAGGAAGATCCTTCGTGCCGCCCGTGATTTGGAAACGGACACGCTGATCATCGAGTACAGGGGGAAAGTCATGCTGAAGCAGCAGTTTGAGGTCAACGGGCACTTCTTTAAGAAGTAAGGGCTCATGGTCAACCAGTCCCGATGCTGCCGATGTAAAGCTTGGTACAGGCTTGCTATTGGTTAGCTACATGGTTCCAGATAATGGTGGGCTTAATTCACTTTGTTAAAGTATTGCTAAATCAGAGGTGACCTCACGACTCCCACAGTCATAGTAGGGCTGGTTAGGTGCTGATGGCCTCTGACTCTCCTGCCCTGGATTCACAGACCCTACCCATTCGTGCTCTTCTACTCAAAGTTCAACGAAGTGGAGATGTGCGTAGATGCCCGGACATTTGGCAACGACGCACGCTTCATCCGGAGGTCCTGTACGCCCAATGCCGAGGTGAGCGGCGTACTTCACCCCTCTCGAATGTGGACGGACCACATGACCGGCCTCTAGCAGAACCCACCTGACCCCCGGCTCTCCCGCAGGTCCGGCACATGATCGCTGAGGGCATGATTCACCTGTGTATCTATGCCGTGACTCGCATCTCCAAGGACTCAGAGGTCACCATCGGCTTCGACTATGAGTTCAGCAGCTGGTCAGTGCGTGCGTGTGTGTGCGTGCGTGCGTGTGTATTTTGTTTATATTACATTGTGGGGACCAAATGCACCCCACAATGTGATCAAAATCTGTTATTTTTACATTGTGGGGACCATTTTCAGGTCCCCACAAAGATCTGTGAACGCAATAAAAAAAAGTAGACCTTGCAAAAGTCTCATATTTTGTTGGTTTACTTATGGTTAAGGTTAGGGCTGGGTAGGGGTTGAAGTTGTCATGTTGGGATTAAGAGTATTGCCCATAGAAATGAATGGAGAGTACCCACAAAGATATAATTAGAAACGTGTGTGTGTGTGCGTGCGTGCGTGCAGTGTTAAGTGACCGTAGTAGTAGCCTGTGTGTTGTGTAGGAGTCATTGATCGAAAGTCTTGCCCACCCAACATTTTGTTGCTAATGCTAACATTGGGCCAACACTAAAGATCTTAAGGTCAGCATGATATCACCCTTGGTCCATAAATGCATTGTTACTACAGTGGCTGCTACAGCACTTGTACTTTTGATGCATTGCCTTCCTTACTTTGAACCCGGCCTCTCTTTCTTGTAACTGCAGCAACTATAAGGTGGACTGCGCCTGCCACAAAGGGAACCAGAACTGCCCGGTGCAGAAGCATAACCTGAACCCTCTGGAGCAGCCTCTGCGCCCACCCTCTCTGCCTCCCCCCGAGACCCGGCGGCGGAAGGCCCGCCGGAAAGAGCTGGAGGCCGGGGTCCCGGGCACCGGCTCGGACGACAGCAGCCAGCTCCCCGAGGAGGCGGTGGATAGCAAGGATCGGCAGGGAGGCAGCACAGGGGCCAGTGATGCTGAGGTGTGTAGGATACGTTATCGGGGCCTTGTGATTGGTTGGCCTCTTCTGTCATTTTGTCTGCTGTAAACTGCCCAGATGGAGAGATTTTGCCCAGCGAGTCAGCAGTGACAGCCCTACCACCCCGTTACATTCCTCTGTCTGCTCCCTAGGAGGGGCTCTGCGATGGGCTGAAGCCAGAGGGGGGGCAGGAGGCGGAGCTGGATGAGAACGGAAGTTCCATTCAAAGCAGACGGGTATGTTGGGACCATCAAAGGGGAATTCATTTCTAAAGAATGTCTGTAATGCATAATCAGGCCTAGTGATGGTAGACACAAGCTTTATAGGCAATTTGACAGTATTACTGGTAATCATCGATAACTGGCAGGTAACTTGGTGTCGATATCTGACAGTGACTAACCGGCGATTATTTCCTCTGTCTGGGATGTCGGCTTAGGCTACACACACAGATACAATGTGGCTTTCAGTTCAGCTGCCACTTTTAAAAAAACATCCTTATTGTTTTTTCATTTAAATCCTTGTAGATTTCTAACAGAATCTTTATAAAGTTATATTAATTTACTTTAGATCAGTGGTTCTTAAACTATGGTATGCAAAAGTATGGCTGTCAATTGTCACCGTTATTGTTTATTTTTAAATTGAAATATAGCGTATAATTTTTTTCAACCTTGTCCAGTCCTGCTAGACACAGGGCCTTCCAAGCCACAGAAACCTAGAAACACCGAAGTAAATATGACTTCCTGGAATCGGGGATCCTCATTGACCGCTAATGCTTCCTTCTCTTCGTGCCGCGACAGACCCGCGAGGAGCGCAAGGCTGAGGCTGTAACGCAGGTCTTCGATAACTTGGAGAAGAGGAGGAAGAGGAGCTCGCAGACGCAGGAGAGGTGCCACGGTGCGGCAGTCGGGCCGGGAGCAGAGGAGCCCAAGCAGGAAGGAGGCGAGCTGGGGGATGGTGACTCCCCGCTGGCCGGGACGCCGCCGACGCAGAGCACCGGTGTGGGTGTCAGCACGCGCCGCTCCTCCTACTTTACAGTGCGTGTGCCGCCGGCCGGCCTTCGTTCACGGGGACAGTTATAGAATTTGAATAGAGAATAGAGTCTGTTCTAATTGTGAGTTATCCTGAACTGGCTATCGGGCAAGCTCTTTATTAAATAGGTCCATTTTTCCCTCCCCCAACCACAGGAAGTACCTCCCCCTGAAGTGGAGAAGACCCCGGCTGCCTCCAAGCCGGCCCCGGTTCGATCCTCCAAGCCCCGGCCCAAGAGCCGTATATCGCGGTACCGCTCTGGCTCGTCCCAGCGGGCACGGCGCCAGAGGCAAGCTCTGGCCCAGCAGGCCTCTGACCCGGGGCCCGGTGTTGCAGAGGAAGGTGTGGCGGGAGCATCAGGCGTGGATTTGGGAGTGGGGGAAGGAGTGCTGATGGTGGGGCAGCCCGTCGACCCCGAGGGGCCTGGAGGAGCAGCGACTGGGGCCTTAGGCAGCAAGTCAGGCCTTCGGTATCACAAGACCAAGAAGGTGAGGAGCTGCTTTGGCTTCTGTTGTGTTTTGTCTTCCAAATCAAGATATGGAAAGTTTGAGGTTAAACGGCAAAAAATCAGGTCTGAAACACGTGGCGGCTTGATCGGGGCCAGCTGTGCTGGGGAGGTGGTGTCTCTGGGCGTAGAGATGGGTCTCACTATGGGATGCCCGTGGCAGCGCCCTGTAGGCCAGCCCAGCACAGAGCTCTCCCGCTGGTCTCCTGCCGCTGCCAGCTCCAGCATCAGCCCTTAATCAGATTAGCTCTCATTGTTGTGTTTTCACGTTTTGGTGTAAAAATACAGCTTTCCTGGCATGTATTCTGGAGATATCAACTGGACCAGTAAATGGGTCTGAATGAGAACCAGTGGACCCTCTGCCCAGCCCGGCAGTACATTCTGACGTATCTGGTTTAGGCCCCCGGTAGACTGAGTGTCGCTCTGGCACAGATGCTGAACAGCATTTTGTTTGCTGCCCACAGTCTCACTGCTTTTGATCCCCCCCTTCAGTACCTGGTAACGGAGTGGCTGAATGACAAGGTCCCCGAGAAGCCGGAGAGCCCCCTGTCCCGGCCCCTGCGCATTACCACAGACCCCACGGTGCTGGCCACCACGCTCAATATGTTACCTGGCCTTTCGCCCTCACCCCTCATCTGCACCACACCCAAACACTACGTACGTTTCGGCTCCCCCTTCACCCCCGAGCGACGCCGACGTCCCGTCATCGTGGATGGATCCTATGGTTCCTTCAAGAAGGTGTGCCATATTTCCCCCCCCCCTCGCCGTTTCATTTCTCGAAATCAGATCCCAACCTGTAGGGGGCAGCGTAACCTTCAGACTGACTTCAAGTTCATGTGGAGGTCCTCTGTTTTTTCTTTAGCGGTGGATCAAGCAGGCGCAGGACGAAAGTCTTTCCTCAGCACGGGACGAGGGCGAGACGCCGTCAGATTCTTCACACCAAAGCAGCTGCTCTTCTACCGCCTTCAGAGCTGGTATTTCATTTTCTTAAAGGGCAGTTCAGACTGCATTTAGGTCTGATAAGTTGCATGTTCACTGTCTGTCCTGGCTATGGTGCTAACAGGTCTGTCTTCCTCCATTTCTGTCCCCTTCTTAGAACTGACAGCACCTTTCAAGAAACGGAAATGGAAGTACGGCCCGCAGCCGTCGTCGCCCCCCAGCCCACTTCTGCCCGTGTCCTCTGAAGGGCTGTTAAGGCCCCTCTCTCCCATAACCCCGCCCCCAGCCCTGCCCTCTGACCCCCTGCACACGTTACTGCCCGAGCCGTGCCAGCTCACCGTGGGGGCAGCCGACGAGCGACCCAACGGCTACAGCCGTCCGTATTCCCCCATCCAGTCCCCCCCCACCAGCCGCTGCAACACCCCGCTGCAGTTTGAGGTAGGGAGCTCTTTGCCTGTGTTAGGACTGTTCACGTTTTGTGCTGGTTTTATATTGGTGTGGCTTGATGTACCTTACAGTCCATGCAGAGAAATGAGGTCCATGGACCGGTTCCGGACTGTAGAGCACTGTGGGTACAGTTGGCAGCCATCCTGTATATTATGGGATCGCCCTGTACTGAAAAATAAAATGTGTCCTGTATTGATCCACGCAATTGCAGGATCTGTCCCATATTTCTGTACACATTGTGTATCCCTTCTCAGCATATTCTACCACTGGAGCCCTTCCCCGTTGCCCATTTCACCAGTCTGTGAAATTTTTGTACGCCGTAAACTGGTCCATAGTCAGCTAAAAGTTGGGAACCCTTAATTTACAGTTCAAAGAAGGTTGAATTCAGTAGCAGGGCGGCGCTCACTAAAACACAACTGCCAGGTATCTGGGAGACACCATGCTGGCTTCCGTGGCTTTGAGTCCCGAAGCACTGCATGGGACAGTTGGCAGCAGTGTTCACCAGCCTCTTCAACATCTCCTTAGAACAGGCCATTGTTCCCACCTGTCTCAAGACTGCTATCATCATCCCTGTTCCAAAACTGGCAACGGTCAGACCCTGAATGACTATTGTCCAGTGACCCTGTCCCCCATAATCATGAAGTGCTTTGAATGACTATTCCTAACTCGCAAAGAAAAATATCCCGCCTTCCATGAACCAACTTCAGCTTGCTTATAGGGCAAATAGGTCAAATGAGGACATTACCCCACTGGCCCTTCACACTGCCATGTCACATCTGGAATAGACATCACCTCAGCCTCCACACACACCGGTGTATTTTGATTCTTGACTTTCCCATTAGCAGACCACAGGCTATACGCATAGGCCAGTACTCCTCCACTGTCATGACACTGGAGCGCCACAGGGCTGCGTGCTGAGCCCTCTGCTGTACTCCCTCTCTGCACATGACCGCTAACTTATCCATGATTCCGACATCATAATCACCGCCATGACAGGCCTGATCTCAAACAATACACCAGGCTATAGACAGGAGGGTGAGAACTTGGGGAGCTGGAGCCAGGACAACAACCTTACCCTCAACCTCGAAGAAAACCAAGGAGCTGATCCTGGACTTCAGGAGATCAAAAAGGACCAGCGTCCCATCAACCTCAGTGGCGAGATGGGGGAGAACAGAACTTCAGGTTTTCTTGGTGTCCAAATCAGCCATGACGTCTCCTGGTCAAGAAACATAACAGCCATTGCCAAAGAAGGACGTCAGCGGCTTCATTTCCTCAGAAGCCTAAAGAAAGCACAACTTCCGCAACAGCTGATGGTCAACTTCTACAAGTGCACCATTGAGTCCATCATCACCTACTGCATCACAGCATGGTACCCAGGCAGCTCCTGAGAACAGGAAGGCCATCCAGCGCATCATCACCTACTGCATCACAGCATGGTACCCAGGCAGCTCCTGAGAACAGGAAGGCCCTCCAGCGCATCATCAGTACAGCCCAGAGGATCACTGGCTCACAGCTTCCTACCCTGGAGGAATTCCTCAGAACTTGCTGTAACTGCAAAGCCAGGAACATCTGCAGTGACACCACTTCACCCTTCTGCCATCTGGCAAGCACTGCAGAGCCCTGACTGCCTTCTACCCCAAATCACACTGCTAAACACCCTGGGCCCACTCCCTCCTCTCACAACAGCACCAGACTGAACTGAACTGAGACCTATCCACACTACACACATCCGGCACTACACTCACAGAATATGCACTCTAACTGTTCTGGCTCCTAGCAGTCATACGATCACCCATGCTGACTATGACAATGCTGCTGTCACATTCATCTCAGTACCACAGTTGTGTTCTATGTAATCCATTATACTGTGCAATACTGTTGATCCTGATCATTCTTACAGTAATTCTACAACTCTCAACCGCTGCCTTGGTCAGGTGCGATTAATTTATGTACAATATTTCTCTTATACGTTTATACTGTGTATTTGTATTTGTACATTGCAATATGCATTTGTTTTGTTGTTGTAGCTTGTATAGTTTATATAGAGGATTCTACAGTATGATCCAACCTTCATCTTATTGTACTTGTTCAGTGACAGTTAAGATCTCTCATATGTGGCTCAGCAAGCCATTCCTCAGAGGAGCCACATTACGGCTTAAAAACCCGGAGCTGAGGATAAGGCTTTGTCTGAGGATATGGCCCACAGCTGCCGCCTTAGACAGACCCCCTTCTCCTCTTGCTGGCCGCGTGCCCCTCGCAGTCCCCTTTAACGTGCATTAAGCACATCTCTCACTTGCATTACTTAATGCTAATGATGCCGCCTCTCTGCCCACAGAACATCTCCTCTCCTGAAGCCTCCCCGGTACACAGGCCAGAGTCTCTGTCGCCCGAGGTAATGGCCCATGCCCCACTTTCCCAGAATGCCTCTGTGTATCCTCTAAGAATAGATGCACATTTCCTCAAGCTGGTAAACATGGATTTCTTTTCCCTTCTCTTTCTGAATCATGCATCCTGCCTGCAGCCCTGTCTGCGCAAGGAAATGGACGGGCCCTGCACCATGCTGTCCGACCCGCCCCTGCCCTCCGCCCTGGACAGCCCCACGCCGCTGGAGGACTGTCCCCATGGTGCCTCGGACCCTTTTGGGGCGTCGGGACCAGCGGCGCCACCTGTACCCGCAGACACGGTGTTCAGCACCAGGCCAGTGGAGGTCGCAATGAGGGAGCAGTCCTTCCGCAAGGAGTTCAGCCTCATCTACGCCTGCTCCCCCCTGAACTCCAACCTGGCGGAGGGGCTGGGCGTCCGCACGGCCGGCGACAGGCGGCCCTCCCAGTCGGAGGGCAGCTTCTCTCCAGCCGAGCCCTTCTTCAACTGCGTCGGCGGGCAGGGCGTCATCGCGGAGACCGGCGCGGGCTCGCTGTCGCCATACCCGGAGCCGCACTACAGCGGCTCTTACCCCGACAGTGGCACCCCCCCACATCCCGGCAACCCCCCGCAGAAGAAAAAGGCAAGCGCTCTCTCTTCCTTAGCCACCCCTCACTTAGCCCTAAAATGATGTAGCTGTCAGGACTTTGGAGGCATTAAAAGCCAATATATTAAATTGGCCTTATTTTCTCTAATACAGTGAAGTTATGTTTCACTTGCTTTGGGACATAGGAATGGTTCAGAAAAGGAAACCAAAAGCTAATCTGCTACGTGCTCCTTCTCCCGCACTGTCTTCGCCTGTCTGTTCTGTCTGATTTATGGAGGAATACTTTTCTCTGTCGAGGTCTGAATTTGTAAGAACCAGCTATGGTCATATGGTCAGAGACGGTTCAGGGTTGAAACATCCGCTGAGCGGAGTTCTGGTCAGCGCCTCTTTTGGCTCTGAGCAGCGACTCCCTGGTTAATGACAGTGACCCCGGACAGCATGGGGACCAGTAATCCCTCTCGAGGCCACTGGGCTGTTCCCGTTGGTCACTCTGACCCTGAACGTCTGCTGACATTGCTCCTGATACTTTTTGCAAAGTATTTTTTCCCCACTTTTTTTCCCCTAAGGCAGAAGGCCAACCTGCACACGATTAGTCTGCTGACAGGAAAGCCAGATTACCAGGCTTTATCTGTACGAAGTGAATACAAGACAGTACCAAATATGGTGAATATTTTCTAACTCACTATAGAAGTGTGCATGTCAGTATTGTTGCATCTGCATACTCCCCCCCTCCCAAAAAATACATCAACTATTAATATGCAAGTTATATTTTTTTTTGTGAAGTCCATGTTTCATTACAAGTATTTCCAGATAGTCACTTTTTTTGTTGCCATGACGACGTTCCATCATTGGGCTCGGTCAGGGTCCTTGTGGCCCGACCCAGTTTGGTCCGTTCCACTCCGTCCCACCATCTCTCAGCATCCATCTGACCCCAGTGAGTGAGGATGGATATAGCGCTTAGCTGTTGAGGGCCGCAGGGGTTGGCCACGCCCCCGCGAGGACGACCTCACCCCTATCACCTGACCGTCCATACAGCGGCAGACCTGCTCCACCCATCATTCCCCCTGTCTTGGGTTTCCTGCTCGTCGCCTACCTGTGTGGACTCTCTGTGCGCGCGTGTGCCTGTGTGTGCGTGTGCCTGCTCCGTGGTACGCTTCCCCGTTGTGCTGTCGTTGTTCTTGACCATGTGCTGCTCCCTGTTGCTTGTGCTGCAGTTGTGCATTTGACAATAACCGAATCGCAGAAAGGCACTAATACCGCTGGGGTCGTGCGTGAATGGAGCAGAGGACGTCGTCGGCCGTGGTGACGTGATACCAGCGGTCCCCTACTTTCACAGGACTAGCCTGTCCCTTCTGCAGAGTTTTTACAAAACATCACTGGTAGCTTGTAAGTTACCCGGCCCTGCCAGGCCATGCTGAAACAAGCTGCATATTTCACTGTATTTCACTTGTGCGTTTGCGTTTTAAAATTTCATTCCTGAATATGGAACGACAGAGAAACGGTCAATTGATTATTGGCTCATAGGCTGATCAGTTGAAACCTACCTCCCCTGTATTTGATCACTTATACAGTTAAATTTAAATTAATGTTCGGTTTTGTCTATTGAAACTGAGAATGACAGATATGACTGAAAATGTGTCAGCCTCTCCACCCCCCCCCACCCCCAACCGTTGCAGGCTTTTGTCCCAGTGGCGACCACGTCCTACCACTGCGCTAACACTCAAGCATCCCACTGCCGCAGTGGACCTCATTTCCCTGTCCGGTCTGTCTCACTCTCTCAGTCGCAGATTTGGCAGCACTGTCGTGATGTCCCTGGCTCGGGTATTTTGCCCATGCCCCCGGTGCACAGTATTTTTATATTCTGGTCCACGGAAGGATGTCGTTATCTTGAGCTTCCGGAGAAGATTCCAGAATGTACTTTATGGTGAAAGCTTCCGGTGAAACGTTTGTTGTCCAAAACACTCATTAGGAAACTGGTTTGTCCATCTGTGCAGTCGGCACCAAATCATTTTATTACCCTTAATACAGTTTTAGCAGTAGCCTGAGTGCTTCTATCTGCCCCCCCCATCAGTGTCACCCTCCATCCAGTATAGCTTGAATCACACCCCCTAACCCTAAGGTTGTGTCTTCGTTTGGGGCCTCTAGGTGTCCCTGTTGGAGTACCGGAAGCGCAAGCAAGGGGCAAAGGAGCCAGACGGGGCTGCAGGAGGTGCAGAGCCCTTTAGTGGCCCTCGCTCAGCCCTACAGCCCCCATCCTCCCCCCAGAGCTGCCTGTCCTCCCCAGTGCATGCTGCCATCCCCCACATGGAGGAGGTTAGCCCCCCGGACCATGGAACAACCTCCCAGCCCCTGGGGCATCAGCCTAGGGCCCAGGACAGCAGCAGCCACTGGTAAGGCCTATGGGGATTTTTTGGCTGTTTACTGGGGTTTCCCAATCCAGTCCCTATTGCCTGGTAATCCAGCCAGACCAGTCCCTGGTAGCAAAGTCTCAGAGCTCCTCCTCTTCCGGAGTGGCTGCCTCACATGTCGCTTGTGAGCTTCTGATGTGGTATTTCTTTCCTGTCAGGATGGTGCCCACTTCAGTTGAGCGGCTGCGCGAGGGCCAGGGCGTCCTGGAGCGGGTGCTGCGGGGCGGCCTCAAGATGGAGCATGCCCTAAAGAGGACGGAGGCCCCGGCCCGGCCTGCCGAGGGCTGCCGGGACAAGGAGGCCGGCGCGGGACCCTGGCCCGGCGGCACGGACTGCCCCCAAAAGAGCTCCCCCGGGAGGCGGCCCAACGTGATCGAGCCGCGTGCGTCTTCTACCATCGTGGATCTCCACGACACGGACAACTACGATACCCAGGCAGCTTCCCGGGACCTGGTCTCCCCCGCCAAGAGCCCCCAGCGGTACAGCCACGGCTCTGCAATCTACTCCCACCAGGTATTCCCATCACCTATGACCCCGGGGTCTGTTTTCTTTCTCCCAGACCATAATCCCCCCACCTTTCCCAATCGTAGGATGGGATTTCACCCAGGATAACTGAGCATTGGGAAGCCGGTTGAAGTTCTGCTGAGGATTGTCATACCCGGTTATCCATCGGGCTCAGTCAGTCAGTGTTCGTGTTTGTTTTAGGTGCCGTCGATCGTGTTTGAGAGCCATCAGAAGACAGAACCACCCTCCTTCCTGCACCAGAGTGCGTCGTCGCCCTTCCGTGGCTCCTACAGCCCGTCAGCCCCCTCCCCCAGCCAGGCCTACTACTCACGTCTGACCTCGAACCCCCCACTCACTCAGGAACCCTCTCTTCAGCAGCAGGTGCCTGCCAGCTCGGCGCCTTGCTACCCAGCCCAGGCCTCCTCCGTCACCTCATCATTCGACGCTGTCCTGTGTGGCTCCTCTCGCAAGACAGGGGGCGCCCCGCAACACCCTCACCAGCTAGGCGGTGCCGGGCCCTCTGGAATTGAGGGGTCCCAGTTTTATAGCGGGAGCCCCCTGAAATCCAATCTGCTGAACAGTGCCCCCTCTGGGCTGGTCACTACCACCCCCGCCGGCGTCCCCAGACCCCCCTCCCTCAGCCAGACTCTCCCAAAAACAGACGCATCCAGGCTATCCCAGCAGCCCGGGATACGGACCTTAAGCCCAGACAGCCCTGGGCAAGCGGTGCTACCCCCAGGAAGCAGGCTCCTCTCCGCCTCCAGTTCCCAGCACTATACGCAGCGCAGCACCCCCGTTGGCCAGTTCCAGCATAGGCAGATTTCGGGCTCAGGAGTAAGGACACAGTCAGGAAGTTACTGAGACTCGCACAGACTCCTGGGGGGGGTCATAGAGCCCGAGGAGGGAGGACTTATCCGTCAAACCAGGACTCTTGATTGTTTTCTTATCTTTTCCCCTCTCCTCTCTTTTTAGGGAAGCAGAAATTGTCCTTCACATGGCTACACAGGGGCTTTGTCGTCTTTCAGAAATGCTAGACAAATGGTCATGTAACTTCTGTAAGTTCTCCTTTACATTATGGAGACCATGTGCAGATAGGTGTGGTTATGGAGAATCTAGACATGCTGATTAGTACCTGTTCTTTTGGTACTTCAAACGATTATGATGGGTTTTTTTAAACCAAGCATAAGAAAATGAAAAATAGGTGGAACTCCAGATCATATACAATTTTGTTTCTGAGAGATCAGTCCTGCCGTAACAGAGGGTTTGTTTTAATTGTAAAATTGTAACAATACAAACAAAACTCATTCATACCATCCGTTACAAAGATTCAGGGAGGGAACGGGACAAAAGAAATATATTTGAGAAGACTGTGTTCCTGAGAAGATCATTCCATACAATCCCCAGCCTCTGTCCCCTCCCATAAATGACATAAGACCTCTGGAGTCAGGATCTGTAATTGTATTTTTTTTAAAGTTGATCTTATTTCACTTATAACAATTCTAGGCTTGGTATATTGTACTTGACTCATACAGATCTTATAATCCATGGTGCTGCAGTTTATTTTTTTATTTATTTTTTTAATCCATTATACTTTTCTCCACACATAGTGAAGTCATTCAATCTATTTCTAATTGGAAAAAGACTTTTGAAAACTGAATCACAGTGATTATTGTTATTTTTTTAACAAACATTCAGTGTACAGGAATGCAGAGAGAGCAACAGAGGGTAAGTTGGGGGGGGGGCTAGGGGGTGGTTTTTTTGTTTTTGTCACCTGTTGGGTTGTCCCGTTAAATCCTTGAAGACTGAGGAATTATAAAAATTGAGAGTTAATGTTTTTTTTTTTTCGCTCCCCTTGGACCAACTCCGCATTCCCCACACCTGCCAACACAACCGGACACTGTGCTGGCGAATGTGTCGATGGGGAGAGCTGCTGTCTTTCCTTTTTTAAAAAAAAAAAAAAAAAAAAAAGTTTGTAAATGCAAGTGCTGCTTCAACAACGTTTCATTTTCCACAGAATGCTGTACCTCTCGTTTTTATCTCTTAGTCGGTTTGTTACCCGTCACGATGAACGAAACACAGCGAGGTCACCAAGTCACACAGCAGCCGTCGCACGGGGACTAAAGACGGAAAACTGTCGAAAGCCGTCCACGGGCCGATTGCTCACATGGACCACTGATTCTCCCCCAGTGTGGACAAATAACCCCCCCCAAACAGAGAGGCTCTGCTCAAAGAGGAATGAGCACAGGATCTGCTGGGAAAGGTGGCTTCCGTTGCATACATGTTCGGGGTGCGATTTGTGGTTGACTGGACAAATGGCGGATTGAGCACTCTCGTGACCTCTGACCTCTCCCCTGCCTCTCCTGCAGAAGACGGAAGGGTACTCACTCCTTACCTGAATGTTTCTCATTGTGAAAGTCATGGCTGAAGAAAACTTGTGACCCAAAATACCAGCACCTTAATTAAAAAAAAGCAAATGTTGTGTATGATCATGTGTACTTTGTATAAAATGTGTTATATACTGTACGAAGAAAATATAGTACACTAAATTTGCAGTTTGACTTTTCTTTTTGGTCTGGCACAGCTGAAAGCCTGGGACCAAATCTGACCACCGATGATAAACTCCTGATGATTAAGGAAAAGCAGATTTTGAAATACTGCTTTTTTGGGCAGTATAGTGACACCTATTTGGATGTTGAAAAACAAAAGCAAACAAGCTGCAATATGCTTTATTTTTGCCCATGTTAATGTATTTCAGGAATTGCACTTAGAAGGCATTTTTCTATTTTCAAGAGCTTCTGGTGCCTGATGCAGTTTCAACTAAGCAGGTAAGGCTTTGGGTAAAAATTACGGCTGAGGGGCTCCCTGTCTGTGCAGACTAGGTACCTCTGGTGGGATCTATATTCATTAGCTCAAGTGAAGTTTATTGATAAGTGATGTTGAACAAAATTGCAGAGGAAGATGCAAGGGTATGAAATATTAATTCATTCCATATGAAGGGCAGCTAAGCTCTTGCAAACATGTAAAAGTATTTTTAAAAGCCTCTCATTCAGCCAGGGCTATGGCGGTCATGGTGTATAAAATGTACAGCTTATTTTTGGTGTTTTGGAACACTTGTACCCTGCAGAGGCACAGTCAACATCCCTGTCCACTGAGCCTCTGCACTGTTTGCTTGTTTTAGATATATGGCTGGGAGAATGGGTGACTAACCCAGAGGTCGTAATAATTATCTTAGTCTGCATATCATCCCAAGGGATATTCTCTGGGATACGTTGGACCTGACCAAAACGTTGTACTTTGTTTTCAGCACTGTAGAGAAACTAATCTGTTTATATACACTAACGGTGCCTCACAGAAATAGTGGTCCTGCCTTTTTGTGGACCGGTTCAAAGCAAAAGGGATCCGAATTGATTGGTTGTTGGGTAAATTTGTTGGGTAAAGTTGAGCCCTGAAGGTCAAAGGTCAGGGGACCGCCTAGAGGGAAAGAATGTGGTCTCTCGTGTTGCCTCACTACCCAATCCAGCTGTAGGCTCGACATTCTCGCTCTGGGTTCTCCCGGTACACAACCCGGTATCCACACTCTGTCTGAACCCGCTGACATTTCTTAGGCCATGATGTGGGCTGCTTTGCTCTGTGGATTGAAAATGACACGTCAGTACATGTGCACTTGTTTTTGGATCAAGCCAAAACAGCCATAATGGTCCAGCATTAAATCTCAATATATCTGCCTAAAATCAGCTCCACTTCCATAGAAAGACCCCTTGGCTATTTTAGTAGCCATAAGCATTTTGTGGGAAAGTGCTTTGACTCACGAGAGGCAGAGGAAGCCCGAGTTGTGGCAGTAACACTTCTCGCAGTCCCTGAGGAAGGTCTTGTCCGGGCTGAGCTGCCTGCCCCCAAGGCAGGCACCTGGGCGGGTCGATTAAAAGGACAGGTTTAAAACTCGGAAAGTCAAGCGAGCTGCTTGAAGTCTGCTGACGATGCAGGTGTATAAAAAGCACAGAACGTTTTGTACGCCACATCGCCACAGGTAACCCACGCATCAACCTGCTATAAAGTGCAATAACCACCAATTATATTGTATATTAATAGTCCACTAATGTGTTGTTTTGGAAATAACAAAGACGGATAATACATTTTTGCAATGAAAAATTCTCGCATTGACAAAAGCTAAACTAATACCTTGTGTTTCTTCCTGTTCACATATAAATGTATGATAAGATATCAGTGTTGGGATTTTAAAAGTGAAAATACTGCTCAGCTAACTGCCAAATTTGGGATCTCAGCCGATATGATACTGCTTCACTCTGTCAATAACCAGTCACATTACTTTGACCTGAAGTAGACCTGGCCACTAGGGGGAGTGCTCCTGCCAGTCCGGATGCACAGCCTGTGGGGAAATTGAGGGCCTTTTATATATAGTTACAGAAGGCATTGAAATAGATGCGCTTGATTTGACACACAGCCACCCGAGTCCTCCTTTCGGAAGAGCCTCTCGAACCAGCAATCCGCTGGCTGAAGAGTCTTTCATGTCTGATATCTGAATGTTGTCCGAAGCCCCACAAGGCCTGAAGCATGCGCTTCAGAAGGGAAGCCAAAACATACTTGTGAGATGAGAGTTAAAGGAAACCAAGCTGGTACGGCAGTGATTTGATTTTAAAAAGCTGTTTTAATACACAGTTTGCTCCTGAAATGCTCTTGATGGTTTGAATTTGGTTAGGGGTTTTTAATTAGAGACTTCATATTCCCATTTTGAATACACTGATATATGATTTTAAATGGTTGCTTTAAATGTATCAGTTTTAAGACTAAAATAACCCTTTCAATGAAATAATACGGATATGTTGAATGTCTAATTATACTGTATCATATAATTAAAAATATGTAGCGGTATAGCCATGATGCTTGTTTCAGAGAAAATATATCAGGTAAAATTGCATATTGAGATGGAGTTTTACATTATTTTTATTTACGCACAGTTTTTCCATATTGGAGGTGGAGACATTTTCTTGTCTAGCAGATAAGGTGACTTGTTTGGCTAACGGAATGTGCCAGATACCCAGTGTAGCCTCTTCAAACAACTTTCCTGTGAAAGACTCACCTATTCAGAGCCCCTGAGGTAGAACATGGAATTATGTTCTTACCGGAGTGATGGGAGATGGCTCCTTCGCTTCCTCCATCAATCCAGATGATCTGCAGAAGGAGACAGACAGCCCACAGCTTGGCCAAAAGCCTGGGAACAGATGCAAGGCTCACGCCTGTCATGCTGGTCCAAAGTCTTCACGTTGTCCTCACAGGATGGGTCTGAATGACTTCTAAACCTCCTCCAGAACTTAATGTCTTGAGCTGAAGTTGTCTTTTACTTCTGCTTGAAGGCTCTTTTTGATGATCTGCAGCTCAGTCCGGGAAGTCAAGGTGTTAGTGCTGAAATGGAGCGTCTTCATTCCTCACACGTTTTATAGGCCCCAAAACAGCTGCTTGCAGATTTCAAATAGCCAGAAAGTGTCTTACTTTCTCTAGTCCCTGTCTAACATCCCTAATGTTTTTCCATTGGCCTGTTACTCTGGCTACGGTGTAGTCTTCCCTGTTTCCCGCGCCTTCCTTGAGACGTCAAGGAAAAAATTTCCATAAATACTTTCACATTTTCTCTGTGTCTTTTGGTTTTTATGAGCTAATATCCTCATCTGGAATGTGAAACATTGGCTCTAAATGATAGGCGTTTACCTGCAGGGAGGATGGGGGGGTTTCCTGTCTATCTACAGCCTGCGGTCTTGCTTTCACAAAGGCAGACTATATCGGTAGTGCGGGGACAGTCTTGCTTGTGTGTGCCATCTTGGCTATATTCTCAACGACAACAAGAAAGGAGACATCTGTTGGGGTATGGATGGCACATGTTGTCGATTCAAACTGAGAGTCGTTTATTTGGATGGGTGGTTTTCTGTGAGAGAGATGGCTTATACGGTAATGGCATCTCCCTGGGAAAATTCCAAATGTAAGACATATTCACTAGTGGTCTGTTTTGGATCCTTTATGTACCAGCATTGTATTCGCCCGTATTTATTTTTCCTTGCTCTTGTGGGTGTCCTATGTGCCCTGCGCACATCCAAGCCCCCGGCGTGAACGTAGGCACCCTACTTGTTTTGCCACGAGCTGCCGACAGCCTGCAGATGCATTGGGCGGCTTTTCCTACGGGGGACGGCCAAGTCACGTCGGGGTCACGCCAACCGTGCCGACTGCCTTTTTTCTGAGGCCAACGTGTCGATTGGCTGCAGGGTGGAGCATGACAGGTGAGCACGTGGATTCGGGAGCTGTTGCCGTGGCGATTGTGACGCATACGCCGGTGCGAGACAGATTTCAGGTTTGTATTTGTGTTTTTTCCCCTGGTGGGATGCTGGTTAACCTTATCTGACCACTATATCCAGTTATACATCTCTATGATCAAACCAAGTGATCGATAATGATTTTCAGAACACTGTCCAGCCAGCCAGTTAGGTAAATAGCCGGAACTACATTATGAAATTGATCGTCACCTTCGTCTACATCTCCTTCAGTCCATCTTCCTTTCAGGACCGTTTACCCTCTTTGAGCATGGAGAAATTCACACCACCAGCCCACCTGTTTAGTAGCTATTGCCAAGTCCAGACTGTGTAGTACTGCTTGCTTCATTGGCACTGCCATCTCATGCACTAGTAACTGTGTTTATTGCTCTCCTGATAAATAATAGCCTGTAGAAGGAGCACACAGGCGCAGGTGAGATGCCGTCCTGATGGAAACCCCCCACCAAAGAAATCTTCATATCCGGTGAAAAGCGGCGGATTTTCCACTGGTATTCCTCCGAGAAGATCTCTGCCAGGTTGCTCTGTGATATCCCTGGAACGATCGCACGGTCGAGGCTCTGCTGACTCTCTGCGCCTGCTTGCAGGGGTCCGTTTTACCGCCCGATGGGCGCGAGACGACATGCTAGCCGGGTCCTGCCACCGCCCCAGTAGGACCCTGGCATCTTGGCTGAGGGACCTGCGAACCTGGGGGGCTCTTTTCTGTTACTCTCCGCTGGGCCTGGCTGGACACGGTGGCGGGTTGGAAGTGGCCTTTGCAGCCAAGCGGCAGGCTGCAGAGAAACCAGCCATCTGTGCTTCTCCTTTCCAGTCTCTGTCTCTGTGATATTCTGTGATTTTTAATTTTTTTTCCCCCTGCAACGTGTTATCCCAGAATTATAAGCAAGCTTCGCTCTTTCGAGCTACAGTAATAGCAGGAAGACGCAGGACTGATATGAGATGTTGGATGCGGGGAGGGCAGGTGGTGGGTGTAATGGGCCGAGGTAATTCCCTGCTGTGCCTTCCCCTTTAGCCAAGGCTCTGGAGTTCCCTCAGGTGCTCTCCGGTACCTGCCCCAGCTAATCCCTGCCAAGCGTGACTCAGGACAAGAGGGGTGCCGTTGAGGGAGGTTGGTTGCATTTGTTTTTTTTTTATACTATTTTTTCATTACCTGGCCAATGTAGAAATTGCATATCGACATTTGCATAGTGCATAATTTTATCCCCCACTCATCCATTTTTTTCCTTCTTTTCTGTGGCTATAAATAGAAGAGGGACAACTGATTCACCGAAGTGGAAAGGCTTGCATGGTATGTCGTATGGAGACATTTCCTGTCTCGGTTTTCCATAAAAAAAAAACAGCTGCAGTCTCCTCCTCTTGTCGTCTACTCAACCCACACAACCTTGGAAATCTAATATAAATTTAAAATTCCTTTTTTTGTCTACAGAGTTGTGTTTTTGGTACCTGGCATTTTATGGTTATTTGCTTCAAACACTAACCCAATTCTGGGATAGTGTTGTAGGAGCTGGATAACCTTGGTTATTTTATTTATATGTGCAGTACCGGTGAAAAGTTACTTATTAGGATTTCTGTTTTTTGCATCAGTTATATATTTTTCCAAAAATAACTGAAAATAAAACACATGACATATGAACCAAAACATAACAATGTTCAGGAAAACTGTCATTTGCCCCTAAATCTCAGACTCTCACGCCAGCAAATCATCCCCAGCTTGTGGCACAGCCTCATCCGTGCCTGAAAGTGGGAATCACACATGCAGAACTCAAGGACGCAGGTCAGAACAAATCAAGAGTGCAGTGGCAGAGAAGCTCAGTGTTACTCAGCAGTGCATGCTGCATACAGTGCAGTGGCAGAGAAGCTCAGTGTTACTCAGCAGTGCATGCTGCATACAGTGCAGTGGCAGAGAAGCTCAGTGTTACTCAGCAGTGCATGCTGCATACAGTGCGGTAGTGTATGGGTTAGAGGAACAGGGGGAAAGCAGGATGGAGCTTCTGCTAAAAGTAACCTGAGAGCTGAAAGGTAAATAAGCGGGTTCCTGGAGGGAGGCTCCACAAAGCACCTGTCGGGGTTCTGGGTGTCGAAGGGGTTTCAGGTTCCCATGGGCTGGTGAGGCAGAGAGGAAGTGGCCACTGATAGCTGGTAGCCGTCCTGGAGAGGATCTGTGACACAAAGAGTGTCAAGAGAAAACACTTCCCACATGGTCACTCTCCCTGTTCATCGGGAGTGTGTTGTCTTTAAACTCCCTGGAAGGTTTCCCAGAAGCTGGACGATGGTTCCCCAGCCGTGGGCAGTAGACATTCCTCACACGGAGCGCTTTGCCCTTTATGGGACCTGTCTGTCGGGGAGGTTCTGAAACCAGCACGGAGGAGTCCGCAGCGGGGGCGGAGTCGCTGCCCTCACCTTTCGATGCCTTTCAACGAAATACTTCCGATGATTCATTATATGTATATAATTCTGTCACTTGCCACTTTATCAGGTACACCTGTTCAACTGCTCCTTGAAGTAAATATCTAATCTCCCAATAATATGTCACCAGCACAAAGTATGAAATATTGCAGATACAGGTCAGGAGCTTCAGTTAATGTTCACATCAAACACCAGAATGGGGTAAAAGGTGAATTAAGTGACTTTGAATGTGGCATGACTGTAGGTGCCAGATGGGCTGGAGTGAGTATGTCAGAAACTGCTGATGATCTGGGATTTTCAAGCACAACCATCTCGGGGTTTATTGAGAAAGGGCGGAAAAAAATACATCCAGTGAGCAGTGGTTCTCTGGCCAAAAATACCTTGTTGTTGGCAGGTGTCAGAGAATAATGGTCAGACTGGTTTAAGATAACAGCAAGGCAACAGTAGCTTAAATAACCACTTGTTACAACCAAAGTATGCATCTATTTATGTGCAACATGTCAAATCTTGAAGCAGATGGGCTACAGCAGCAGAAGATCGCAAAGGTTGTCACTCCTGTCAGCTACAGTGGGCACCGGCTCACCAAAACTGGACAATGGAACATTGGAAAAATGCAGGCTAATCAGAGGAGTCTTGATTTCTGCTGTGACATTCTGATGGTCGGGTCAGAATTTGGTGTAAACAACATGAACGCATGGATCCATCCTGCCTTGCATCAACAATTCAGGCTGCTGGTGTAATGGTGTACGCCATTTTCTTGGCACACTTTGGGACACAGTACTAATTGACCATTTTTTTTAAATGCCGCAGCCTATAGTTGCTGTCCATGTTTGTCCCTTTATGACCACAGCGTACCCAGCTTCTAATGGCTAATTCCTCCCGGATAATGCACCAAGTCACAGAGTTCCTATCATCTCACACTGGGTTATTGAACATGACAATGAGTTCACTGAACTCAAATGGCCTCCACAGTCACCAGGTCCAGGAATGTCTCAACCTGGTTCTAGCAAGGTGTACCTACTAAAGTTGTCAGTGAGTGTAGATGTATATTTGGTTGATGAACCCGACTTTGCACTTTGTCACTTCTTAGATAAAGATGAAATCCAACAGGACAACAGCACTCTCTTGTTAATGACCATATCCATATTATAAAACAATCATCCTCATAATGTTGCATTCTTGTGATATTTAGCTTTTTACAAGACGACCAGGTGAGCAGTTATTTACAGCCACCCAGCAGTAGGCCCCACAACTGACATTGTTCTCTGCTCCTTGCTGGGCTCTGTGTGCGGCTTTTGTCTCACGCTGATCATTCTATCACAGCTCAGCGGTCATGTGATTATTCCTTCCATCTGCCACAGCTGATGTGCACTATAGATTTCATGTTAGTTTCTCTTTTCCAGTCTTGTCATTTGTCATTATGTTTGTCTCTGCACTTCATCCGTGTGGTGTGTGGTATGGTGTGATGCTGAAGCAGGGTGTCACTACACACTTGAAGGTGGTTTTCTTACCTTTTATGCAGGTGGAGTTAGTTTGGACAGCTTGATGGGTCTGGAGCACCTGGTTCATGTCCTGTTTAGAATTCTTTATTTCTTAGTTTGCTTAAAGTGTTAAGGCATTTTATTAACTAAAGGCAGATTAAACCATTTTTCTTATATACTGATTTGGATCTTTTATCAAATTACAAAACAGGATGCAGTTTATACTTTTATCCATTTATTTATTCTTAAAAAAAAAAAAAAACAACAACGATGAACATGTGGTGACTGGCGATGTAGGTTCTGTTTGACTTCCAAGTGACAGTCTTGTACAGACGTTTCTGTTTTGTGACAGAGACACTTTACAGCATCTCCTTCATAAATAATGACAGCAAAAAAATAAAATAGCACTTGATATACAACATATAAATTAATAAAGTACAAATTCCACAGTTTTGTATTTCATTGGCGTGTCTGTGGGGGGAAAATTACCTCCAAAATTTTACTGTTGGGTGATAAGGACAGACTCATGTTACAGAAATCCTCATACACATATAACATTAAGAAAGAAAAGAAAAAAGATTTTAATAGCGGTTAAACTATACCATGAAGTCAATTGGCCATGTCTGATTAGCTCTCAGAGAATAATGTCTATGGTATAAGAGAAAGGTCTAGAATATAGTGTGCTAAGAATGTGAGATACATGATTATCACGTTTCCCACACTCAGATGACCCAAATGTACACCTGGTTGGCTTTCAGCTTGTAGCGCTTCACAAGGCCTGGGCAGGGATGCCGCTCTTTAGTGCCTGTGACGCTTCAACCCACAGAATATTCAGTGCAGGCTTAGTAATATTGGCTAAAGCCACGTAGTACTTCCTAAGCTTGCCAAAAAAGTCTTGGCCTCTCCCTTTGGGAGCTAAACCTGTTGCTGTTTTTGAGTCCAAGACCCCTGACTTCAGCCTTAGTCACAATCTCTGAGAAAAACTTAACTTTCTAAGGATTTTTAACTGGCCCAGTGCTTCTGCTTTATGTGGCATCTCTTAAATGTTGGATACTACTTTCTGCAATCCATCAATGTTGAGCTGATTAACAGGTTTGGGTTTTTTTTGACACAGTCTCTAAAAAAAATCCTGGTGGAGATGTGGAGCTTCATGAGTTACCGCAGAGATGGCCAGATGACAATTTTCCCCCACAAAACAGTTTTTTGGAAATTTTTTGTGAGGTTTAATTTACTTGGCATCTTTGTGGCAGCAAAATGAGTCAAGCAATCTCATATCAATTTTAGATAACATTTTGTAGCAAAACATTTAATTCATCATAGCTTACATGTATAAAACAAAACAAATTTCAATGATTAATAACTGCCTTAAGCACCTGCTTTTCACATTGGTTCACATCTCTAAACTTGAACCAGCTCCACCAGCTGAATGGGACAGAGGTGCAGGGTGTGCTCTTTAGGGAGAGTCTGGTGACTGCAGTTAAAAGAGTTAAACTGGTTCATGTGTATGCAAGTTAAACTTGACATGTTTTTTACTCCCCCCCCCCCCCCCAACTCTCACAGTAGCCTCAGGCCATCTGCAAGACTGGTAGCACTAAAGTACTTGTTGCATTCAGCTGTTTTTGCCCCTACCTGACATGCCTTTGTTTTTGTCTGCCCCTCCCTATCAAAATTGTTCATCCCATTTTCACCTGATCCCCAACAGCTCTGAAAAGGAAAATCTTTCCCCTAATAGGTCTACTTGCTTTGTCTCTCACGGTTCAGTTTGTCTTCCCAAAATACCCTCAAAACAGGTTTTCATTACATTTCATTTCATTTCATTTCAAGTTTCACAGTTACATAATTTCCAAACAATAACAGCACACAATTTTGACACAATGCTCTGTTGATTCTGGGTGGGTTGGTTTTCCTTATGTATTATTTTCAAAAATAACTGAGAGATAAAAACTTAAAACATTAAAACATTGAAGAAATTATACTTGAACGACGTTATTTTAGAAAAAAAAAAAAATTTGTGTGACTTTTAAAAAAAAAAAAAAAAAAAAAAAAAAAATTCCAGAAGTATTTTTCTTACAGTTGACAGTAAAATAAGCAGAAGACAACTTTTGGGAAAACAGATTTGCATTGCATGTTTATGATAATCAAGTATGGGGCTTTGCCAGCAGTGTGCTTTTCGTATGGTGCAAGCTGTCTCAAGACTCTCCATTTTGCCCCTGAATTGAAATCCTCTTCTCGATTTATCCCTTCCCTCCACCTCCATCGGTTCCTCCTCATTTCGCAAATTCACTGTTGCCTGAGTGAAACGTCACCTCCAGGCAGCAGTCTGAATGCCACGAACTCCACGGAAATGTTGTCAAGGAGAAGGAAAATGAGCACCATACTGAGGAGTTTACCATCTTAGAAGGTGATGTTTAGTCTGTTTCCAGCTGACCGTTCCCAGAATCCTTTGAAGGTGGACAGTTTTTATGGTTCTGCTGTCTTGTGCCCAGAAAAGTCATAAATTCCCCTGACCCCCTCCCCCAGTAAATGGAAAAAGGTAATGGTGTTTCCTGTCGATTTGAAATAGACATGTCACGACCTATGACAGGCTTTCATGTGACCTTGAGTCACTCAGCAGGCTGTTCCTGAGAGATGCTGGGCCTCTGTCACCTCCCTCATGGAGCAAAGAAAGAGCCCCATGTCACTAACCATGACAGTGGACAAGATCAGCTCCTGCTGCAGGAATTACTAGAGATTATTTTGACAAGTGATTTACATTTGATTGAAAAGTCTAATTATCTAGTTATAATAGAGACCCTTGACAATTTTCCTAATAAAAAGCATCTTCTTAAACGTTTAGCTTTACCACTATTAGGCAGTATCAATTTGAAGAACATTCATATTTCCAAATGTCCGTGAACTACAATTGTGTTAATACTTTATACCAGTGGCTGGGAATTTTAAGTAATCTGTTCACTGTGATTCCAACTTCACTGCCCTCTACGGTCATACAAAGGAGTAATACCATGTGTAACCAGATATAAAACACTATAGACAGTAGGTACCATTGTGAAATTTCTCAGTTTTCTGGTAATTGTTTCCTGGACATATATACATCGTGTAAGCTGATCGTGAGAAACCATCTCACCTAAGGCCCAGTTGAATTTAACAAAAATAGAGCTCTGCATAGGCTTGGAGACATCCTACTTTAACACTACGCTAAGAATCTTAGGGATTTCGTATTAGATTATTTATGAAGTCTATGTTTTTTGCCTCCTTACCGCGGTTGAGTTTAGCATAAAATTGATTCCTATGTGACTCACCAACTCGTTAAAAAAATCTTTTTATGCTGCATCATTGTCTGATTTCAGATTTAATATAAACATATCATATGGCAAAGCTATATTATCAAGATCAAAATATTTTCCCTGTTTCTCCAGAGGGAGAAAAAATAATAATCATTGGGATATCAAGAATGTATTTTTATTGTTGCACGTAGAGGAATGATGTCTAAATTATTTGCTTGCTGCAATTAATGTGAAAATATATTTTTAAGTAGCATTTTATTCTTTTAACAGATTCATAAATCTCTTTTAAGACGTTCTGTTTTGGCTCAATAATAAAGTATAGTACATAAACTTTTAAATTATTCTCAACTTCTGAGCATTTCACTATCTATGATAAAGAAATAATTTATAGAACAAAATAATGAAAAAATAACTACCCTCGTGACTGCCTCGTGGTAGTAGTGGTGGTGGTGGGGGGGGAGGTCTACAAATAACTCTAATAAATGACCTGGTCTTTGGCAGGGCTAGTCTCTAACATTTTTAATGCAATCGGTTCCCCACATTGTTTGAATACAATCAGTTTCCTGAGATTATTTTATTTTCTGATCGCAAAACTGAAACTAAAAACTCGCGTGAATTAAAATAACCGAGGTGTCTATTTTAACTTGATCAAGTTACATCGGTCATCCTTGAGATGCTATTATAAAGTTCTCCCTAAAAGATCCACCTAAATTTTAAAACTACTTTTGAAAACCATGTGATTAGCCTACACACTGACAAATGGCAAACTAATTTGTTGTTCCTAAAAATGTATACATTGTCTTAACGTTTATACAAAGTTTTCATTTCTCCCCATACTTTTCTTATAGTAGTGAACGAAATGGAGTAAAATGGGCTGGACAAAGACGGGTGTAAACACATCACATAACATCCTCACCCTTGACTCACATTGCATTCTATCCGAGAAAAAAAATCTGTCGTAACATCAATGCCTGCCTTAAAATACTTGTTCAAGAAAGTGTCCAAAATAAAAAATAAAAAATTAAATTAAAAAGTGCATTGTCACGTCCTACATGAATGACCTGCAAGAATAAGATGTCACGGAGATGCCACACTATACTACTACAGTTCCAGACGGCACAGTGTTGTAACGGCGTGGGGCGGCCCGTCCGGGCTGCCGCTGAGACAGACTCGGTTGCTCGTAACTCCGATCGCAGGAGGACCGGGGCACCGCTTCTCCTGGCGGCCTGAGTAGGATGCAGCATGCAAGGGCTTCGCTCTCGCCGGGATAAGGACCGAAATTAAACCAAATGGATGAGTGCAACAGAAGAAGGTCGATGCTGTTAGAAAAGGACTCGTTTCCCCCTTTAATCTTCCCCGTAAAACACTTAAATGAAACGAAAGTTAATTTAAAGATTTTAATGTGGGAATCAGCCGTGAGAATATATAACCAAGCTGGGGTCTCGTAAGCACCCAGTACTGGTTCTCCGGTGCGCTGCACGGCTGCTTTGTAAGCTGTAGTCGGTAGATCAGACCGGTTAGGGGAAGCCTGCCCGGATCGAGTGTTCTGACCCCATTGGCCTGCCGCAAAAGGACGGAGAGGGACCCGAGCAGGTCACTAAGTGAGTTACCCTGTGGTTGGCAAAGTAGTGACCCTGTTTCCTCAAATACGCTTTGTACGTGTCCGTACTCCGCTCACTCACAGTCTTCTTCAGCAGCCCGCCCGTACAGATCAGAAGCGTTACTCAGCACGTCCTCTATTCTGTGTGCTGTCGTTCATTTTTTCCTTCGTTGTCAGCATGTGTTGGTCACACGTTTCTGAAGTGGCAACCAGGTCGCCGTGCCTTGTCTGTAATGATAATTATGCGCAAAATAAGCTTGCTTTCCGTCTTCGTGTTCTTGTTTTTTTTTTTTTTTGGAGAGCTGGGCATAACGCAATCATTACCGTAAATAAAATGAATCTTAAACGAGTATTAGAATACCGTGGCAATGCCATCGTAATTATTTTCGGTATTCAAAGTAAGAGCAGAAAGGTATTGTTTTCTGTTATTTCCCACGGTTTGATTCTTGTAAAGCTGCAGTAGATTTTTTTCCTGTACAAATTTGTTCAAATAAATGCATTTATGTATAATATTTTCTCTTTTTATACATATTTCATTCCAGTGGTATTTTACAAACGGCTGTATATATCTTCAGGCTGAGGTTGGGTGTGTGTCCTGAAGAGAGGGGGTTGGGAGGGAATGGGAGGAATGAAGGGAGAAGATGTTGGGTGTGTGGCCAGATGGGAGGGGCCGGAGACAGGGATCTGCTCAGTGGAACCTCTGGACTCCAAATCGCTGGTCCTTGCTGTCTCTGATCTCAATCTGGAGAAATAAACGTAAGAGTGAGGTTAGAGTGGGTGAGAAACAGCATGAGACATAATATGAAATGGAAGCGGTAGAAGGAGCAGACTGCAAAAAAGGAGAGAAGAGGAACAAGCTTGGGAAGATGTAGGATAATGGCAGGATTTCAAAATCAAAAGGAATCTTAGGTGTATGTCATTGATTTACTTCAGGCTGGGAGGGATTCTTTGGTCCTGTTGAAGGTAAAGTCACTTTCAAGAATTTTAAGGATGATCAATCATTCTGTCAATACAACTATAGGTTTAACAGAAGTGTCCTACTACATTCTCTGAACTCTGTGCCACAATGAGGTGTTCAAAAATCTCAAACTGCAAGCTACTGAAAAGTTGGATGGCAAAAGGACACCCTACAGCCCAGTTGAACACAAAGAACACATTTACTGAAAATTTGTTTCTGATGTGCAGTAATTATTGTTATACAAAGAAACTGAGATGGCACAAGATTTCTTTGCATTTTTTTCTAATTTTGTTTGGGGGTGGCTGTTGGCTTAGGCTGGTGATCTTGACAATCCTTGGTTAAGGACATCTACATAAATAGTTTTTTTTTTTTTTTATCCTTTTTTTTTTTTTTTTTTTTTGGGAGGGGGGGTCTGGAGCTTTATGGGTACAAGGCCAGGAATGAGCTAGGATAGGAAGCCAGTCCAGTGTATGGAACTATTCACTCACAAATGCACACCTATGGCCAACTGGGTAGCTCCAATGAACCTCAGCACACGTCTTGACTGGAGCACCTGCAAACTCCACATGCATGGAATTCTGGTGGAGACTTGAATCCTGGTTCCAGAGGTGTGAGACAACACTGCTGAGCACTGCACGACCATGCCACCCTACATTAAGCAATGGTTCAATAAAATCTGACTTGAACTTTCAGTGGCCAGTTGTACGTTTTCCTGGTCTCTGTGTCCATGCTCTGCATGCCATGCTACTTGGGATTAATAAACTGGATGCATGGATCATACATTAATATTTATTATTATGGAAAGTACAAAATAATTGACAGATGCTACAGACTATAATTGCTGATTCTGCTGTTTTGTCTCCCGTGTGCTTTATAAACCAGAACTGCACCATTTTTTTTGCATGGCTAGTTTCCCACTGCGGCTGTGCATGTTTGCTGGCTGACCCTCTCCCCAAGGCATAGTACTCAACTTGACGTAAAAAGGACACAGACCCAGAGATAAGCAAAAACGAAAATGCCGCCTTTGCAGTCCTTGTCTCAGAAAGCTGCTTGCCCTGTGAATGGTATGAAATATCCCCCTGTTTTCAACACAGCCAGTTTATGTTCCTGCTGAAACAAGAGCAACTCTAAAACAAGACTGTTTTTTTATGCATTCCAGACTCGTCAAAGTTCTGAGAGGCTCCTGCTGATCTCCGACAGATGTGTCAGCCTCCAAAGGTCATTTTTTGGGCTGTATTTTACTCTTCAAAGCTTATCTCCCCTGCTTTTCATCTTTCCATTTTTTTAGCTATATTCCACAAATGCTCCATGATTAACTTATATGACAAACTTTTACATTTAATCTCCAGACTGACCACCTGTCTTCACGCAGGCAGTTCTGCAGTCTGCAATGGCATCCAGATACAAAAAAAGTGTCATTTGTGTCTCATGTATTTATTATTTGTATCTCCGTTTTTTAGGTGCCACCAAAACAAAGGGTACCTACAGTCACTTTAATATGCTGGGCATAGTTTGCAGTATGTGCCAAGTGCCATAAAGATCTGTCCGGAAAAAGTCAATTTCTTGACAATTTTTCTTCAGAATATATACCTTAACCCCTACCCAGCCCTAACCATAACCATAAGTAACCAAACAAAATACAAGAGTCTTTGCATTTCTAGTTTTTTCATTGCAGTCACAGATTTTTATTAAATTGAGTTTTCCCTTATGGGGACCAGTTTCTGGGTCCACATAAGGGAAAAAAAACGGGTATTCATCACATTGTGGTAAGGCATACCCGCTGACACACGCACACGCACACGCACACGCACACGCGCGCGTTTGTATTCGTATCTTTCTGGGGACAATCCATTCATTTCTATAGGTAAAAGCATAATCCCAGCTTTGACAACCTTAACGCCCGGCCCTAACTTTAACCTTAAGTACCCAAACAAAACAGAAGACTTATGGTATTTTTAGTTTTTTGATTGCAGTCAAAACTGAGTTTCCCCTTGTGGGGACCAAAAAAATGGTCCCCATAGCCTCAAAATAACATGTTTTTATCACATTGTGGGGACATTTGGTCCCCACAGTGTAATATATACACATCACCCCCTCCCCCCCCCACACACACACATATTTCACTCTGGGATCAATAAAATTCATTCTAATTGTAATTCTAACTAAATGTCTTTGGACTCAAAGGAAACTAGAAAGTGATGCCCACACAATGTTGAGAATATGCAAACTCTACAACCACCTAGCAGAGGCAAATGATACTACAGTTTATTAAAAAAAAATACATCTACATCATAATGAACAAAACTACAGTATGTTCCTCAAGAACACTATGTTCTGTTTTCATCCTTCTCATTCTAAATATATACATCTTTCAGACCAACCTCAACACTTCTATTAAAACTGTCTTGGAAAACATCATTTACCTACCTTAGTATATGTATGTTGCCCCTCACACTAATATGTCATAAAAATAGCATTTCTCAGCTTGTGGGAGTTTTACTTGCACAAAGAAGTTCTGAGGGCAGATCGAAAAATGATTGGTCCAGAAAGATAACCAACCAGATTGTAGAGGTTTTGGGAGTAAAACATCTGATTGGTTTGTCCCACTTCCTCTAGTTGCTTGGACCCACCTCCTTTCAAATCGTATTGGTTATCGCAATCATTTTTTGTTTTTTTTTCGTGTAAGTGAAACTCCCATGAGCCATTTCTCACCAAAACTAAGTGGATAGCATGCTTTCCAGCTTCAAATGATATTAATCTGTGGTACCACACATACATTATGTATTATGAATATTATGTACATATATATAATACATTATTTATAGTACATATAATACTTTATATAAGTGTGTATGTATATAATGTACTCACACATATATATACATATACACACATACACATTGTACATATAATATGTGTGTGTGTATATATATATATATACATTATATATATGCACCTTTTACCTTATATATGTACATATATACATACATACATATATGAAGTATCATGTGGAGTACATTGTGTGTGTGTGTGTGTGTGTGTGTGTGTACACATACACACTTATACATACATTGTACTCCACTTAATACTTCAGCTTAGGCACCTTTGAATGAGACCAGAAACTCTGTAATGTTCTGGTGTTTCTCCTTGGGTTTTAGCACAGAGAAAATCCTGCAAATGATGAATAGCAACAACCACCAAACACAGTCTGTGCCTCTCATCTCGCCTCTTTCAGCTGCACTCTGCTTGGGAATCTGTTTTACCTGAAGTATCTTTAGAAAAATATGCTGGCAACCTTTCAGCCCCCACTAGATGTGGGGTGGGGGGGAGGGGGTGTGTGTGTGTTCAGGGGAGTGGTGGCAGAAGCTAAAATCACTGTGGGTTCTTTGGAGCAAGTGGTCAGGCTTGTGAGACCAAAAGTCACCATCTGACAAGTGGAGAAAAAGGTTGAGAAGAAGGCAGCTTTCCAGAAGGAAGAAGAAGAAGAAGAAGAAGAAAAGGAAGAAGAGGCAAGCATTAGCCAAACACACGCTAATCCAGCAGAAGCTGCAGAGTGTCAGGGAGGTGCCACAACACTGCCTGGACAACAGCCACAAAGCACAGAGCACAAAGCCGTCGCGTAGGCTCACTTACCCTGGACACTGCGAAATCTGCAAAGACAGGACAGAGATTGGCATTCAGTTCATGTCTGCTCCTTGCTTCCTAAAGACATAAGCAATGTTCTGCAAGATGTTTTTTCTTTCTTGTTAAAATGCTTCATTTTGCTTTATCGTAAGGTACATTGACAAAAACAAACAAAGGGAAAAGATTAACTTTAAGACTTTACTGACAATGGTATGAGATCCTCACATTTACCCACAATTCCCCAAACATGTGTCTGTGCACAAAGACACGTACAAGTATGTGCATGATGTAAAATTCATCTTTAAATTATAATTAGAAACGTATACAGTACATCCCAAAGCTTCATTTACTTAGAAAGATATGTCATCTGCTAGCTAGTTTACATCTCAGAATATAGAAAAACAAGAAAGCATTTTTGTTTTAAACTTGTATACAGGGGCTCCATAAAGGGGAGGGGGGAGTGAGGGTGATTCCAAGGGTCCCTGAGTGACACTGATTGCTCTGGGTTGAGGGCCTGGTGTCTCTAGCAGTGACTCTGCTTGTACAGTAAAGTAAAAGTAAAGGACTAATGAGTGAAAAGCTGACATAGTTGGGCATTGCCAACTGAAGCCCATGAGGCACCCTAGGCAAGCTTCATCACTGGTGCCACCCTGGTCACCTGCCCATCTTGCCCTCGCCAAGATTTTGCCACTATATTTAGGTCTAATCACAATGTATTTGTAAGACACAAAGCATGAGTGCATGAATTTTGCATTTGGGGTTCCCTCTGCATGTGTGGTTCAACATGCATGGTTTCCCCTGCACGGGTGTTTCTTCATGTGTGGTTACCCCTGCATGGGTGGTCCTTCATGCATGGTTCCCCTTGCACATGTGGTTACCCATGTGTAGTTTCCCTGCATGTGTGGTTCTTCATGTATGATTCCCCATGCACGTGTGGTTCCCCATGCATTGTTCCCCCTGCATGTGCGGTTCTAAATGCATGTGTGGTTCTTCATATGTGGTTCCCCTTGCTTGTGTGGTTCTTCATATGTAGTTCCCCCTGCACGTATGGATCTTCATGTGTGGTTCCCATTGCACGTGTGGATCTTTATGTGTGGTGAGCACATAAAGATAGATGTAGACGGGTGAGCATGTATACTGGAAGAAGATCATTACCTATACGTGTTTTGATGTTGCAGTGACAGACAATCAAAACAAAAATATCACTTGGTAACATCGGACCATTTTTCAGAAAATGAAGGAGCTAGGTCACTTGGTGAAGAACACAGTGAAGTTTAATGTTATTTTTGGGAAGAATGCCTTTCTGTCCTACTTTCTATTTACAACATTTCGGATGGCTTTGATGTACTAAATTGAAAAACGTCCTTCAAACATAGATGTGGACACAAAAAAATGCATGTAGTAAACACTGGACACAACCAATTCCTGTAAAGGAAAATATAACAGTGCCAGTTTCTTTGGTGAAAAATGAGAATAGTTCTAACAATTCAAACATGGAAAAGGAGTAGAATGATTAAGAGGGGAGGTCAATTAAAGCAGGATTAGCTTCAGCTAAACGCAGATAGGGATGTCATATTCCCAACTGGTGTCACCCCTCAACCCCAGAAATCAGATGAATTGGAATTAACAAAAAAAAAAAAAAAAAAAAGCACTTTTCCAACAGAGTATTAGATCGATGGTGTTCATAGCCTTGGTTTTAAAAAGGAATTAAAAAAAAAAAAAAAAAAAGACAGAGGTGATGTGAATAGGTGAAGGCACGGCTGCAGAGTGCAGAGGCACTGGGGAGATCCTTCTGGAATCTGAAATGTAACCATGGTAACTTCCTCAATAGAATCAGTGAGGAACCACGTTTTTTTGCATTCCCCCCCGACAATAAACACTTCCTTCCTTCTCTCTGCTCATGGTATTCTGGGCTCTACCTCAGCACCTTTGACTTTAAGAGGCACTGCACTGATGAGCTTAATGTAAGAAAAAAAGCAGTTTAATAGGTACTTTATAGCTCAGCTTGTCAATAACAATATTACACCAGTTACATGCCAGGATCGGAAATTTGCCTAAATGCATTTAATGCGACTATGAGAAGGGCTTGAATTTTCTGACTATTCATTTGAAAGACAAGCATTAGCATTTAGGCCAATGGGATCGCATCAAACAGCTTCCCTTACCTTTGTTGTCAGCCTTAATTTCGTCCTGCAGAAAGTCGCTTTGCCGGTTCCCGAGGACAAAGGCCAGAAACGACAGGATGAGCGCATCCAGGATGCCGATGATGGCCAGGATGTAGGCCCAGCGCACGGAGCAGTTGCCCAGCGTGTACTTCCCCGTCTCCTGCCCGCACATATCCCTCACCACTTCTGCATCCCAGCCATCTGGGAAGATCATGCAGCCCAGGACAAGGCACACGGCTGGAAATGGGTGGGGAACAGCAAGGAGAAGACCGTTAGTAGCTAATTATGGGGACTAAGCAACAAGTAGCTCATCATACGCCCCAGTTCACATCACATCAGAAGCATTAGTCTGTATTTTTGTGAGTTGAACATGGTAACCATATGCAGCAGAGCTACCTAACCCTGCTCTTGGAGACCTACCACCCGGCAGAGCTTAGGTGCAGCCCTAACGTAACACACCTGATACAGAGTAGCATCACAGCATTAGAGCCAGTAATCTGGCCAATGGGCCTGCTTTTCTGTATCAGGTGTGCTAATCAGGACGGCCCCTACGCTCTGCAGGGTGGTACATCCCCAGGAGCAGGGTTGGGCAGCCCTGATATACGGGATGGGAGTTTCACTGGACCAGAGCTCTTCCTCGTTGTGGCTTGAATTTGCTGCATTTTGCTTTAATTAACAAGGGAAATGCCACTGGAATTGCATGCATCACACACACAAGTCACACAATGTGCTGCTCCCTGAAGTAGCTACAGAGAACAAACTGCAAATGCCTCCTTCTGTCAATCAACCAATCACATTTCAATTGGTGCAGCACATTTTTTTGCGAGTACGTTTGTGATTTACAGTAAGTTTTCCAAAAGGGAATTGAAACATTCAAAATGCATGTATTAGGAAAAACTGAAGATGACTCTCTGGCCCACTTCAAAGAAGCTGATAATGTGTCTATAGAATGTAAAAATGACAGACATAATTATGAAGGGTATATACAATGGCTTTGTAATACCCGCATGTCAGGGCATAGGGCACTGGACCAAAAAAGAGATACAGAGATGGACGCGTACAGAATGACTGTCAGAACATAAAACAAGAGTCCCCAAGGACAATACCAATAGTTGTCTATCTTTACACCACAGTAATTGTGGCATGAAAAGGACTGAGATCCAATTTTCCTTCCTGTGGATTTTCAGATGACTCACAAAAAGAACACAGGTGGGGTTGATGTGAGGCCTTGCTGTTCTGTAGTCCAGTGGACTGTAAATGGGTTTTAGTCCTGAGGAAGGCATTAGAGCAGGGTTTCCCAATACGGTCCTCGGGGACCCACAGACACTGGACTGCCTGGCCGGAAGCTCGGAGGGAGCAAAAGCACGGACTGACTGTGGTCTCCAAGGACTGGACTGGGAAACACAGCATTAGAAGGTCCAGTGGATAGAAAGTGGAGAGGAGAGAAGAAGCGTCTATCGATGTATCCTAATCGGTAGAATTTTTATATCGATGCATTACCCTTGGCTACTATACATAGTAAACAGAAGGTTACGGCAGTGTTTATTCACACACTTAAATAGAGACTAGACACAATATTTCATATGACCTGTAGATGAAAGAATAACAATATAAATGTGAGAATTATTGTGTTTCAAATACAAAATTAATGCCATTTCCTCACTTGAAATATATTTTACTAATTTCCCCCATATAAAGGGCAAAATGTGTATGCAGCTTATTCATAAATGAAAAAACAACTGACATAAAACAAGAATTAACACAAAAAGAATTGCGTGCTTAAAAAAATGGGCCTTCGTTTCATATTGAGGTAGGCCTCTTTGATCTCTCTCTGGGGATAATCGTGGTGGTGAGAGAAGGCTGAGATTGATTAATTATTGAAAATGGAAGAAATAGGGGGGTAGAACAGATAAGAAGAATGAGAGAGATGGATGAAGAAGTTGGCCAAACCCTGACTGTGTGTGTCTGACGAGAGCCTTGCCAGGACTGCAGTGTGATGGGTGGCTTGTAATGTTTCTATATAAATGTGAGTTTGTCCACCTCTGCACCTCTGTGCACACGGAATTCACTGTGAGTGCTAACTCCTAACCACAATCACAAACATACAGCTGGTTCCCCTCCATGCTCCACCCTGCCAACTCCTGAAACAGTCAACACACAATGGCATACACCAGAAAGTCCAGCAACTAACGCTGGCGAGATGCTCCATTTAGCCGGAGCAGAGCTGAAAACCTGGAAGCTTTTGTCACTGCAATGACATGGGAAAGTCTAGGACAGAGAAACGTTTGTGAGCTTATCAGAAACTTCAGCTACATGCGTCAGGCTCTGAGTTGCTCCACTGGGATCTTCAACCTCAGTTCACACATTCCAAATTTCCATTTCTTTTCCCATACAAACCCTGCCTCATAATCCCAAAAGCATCTACACAACATTGCTGATTCCATACTAATTAACTGCCATCTTCAAGCTCCATTTTCATGATAGTATTGCACCAGTACTACATCTATCTATTTAAAACACTTTTTTTTCCACAAGGATATGCATGCAAACCCTTCCATTAACAATTCCTTCTTTGAATAATTAGGACTCTGACACTTTCATAATGATCCCAATGGAACCTTGAGAAAGCCAATAATAGACAAAAAAATGCACCAAGCTACAGCGAACACCTTGCACAGACCTGCTGTAATGACCGTCAATGGTGTTTCACATCCAATATGTTATTCAGGGCTCTGAATATGCATGCAGTCCACCCACTTCAGTGTTATTTCTCTCAGGTTACAAGTTCAAAAAAAGACCACTTTTGTAAGCATCTGATTTTTTAATGTTTGCCCTTCATTTGGATTTGAATCCCATCTTCCACTTTAATGTGAAGTTTTAGAAGCTTTCCTCGGACCACATTGCAGTGGGGCTGAAGGACATCTTCGGAATATGATGTGCAAAGTATCCACAGTACGGTTCTGCATCAACCACTTTTCAAACACTAGGCTGCATCTTAGGAAGATGGAGGCCCCTTTGCATGCACCAGATTGATGACAAAGGGCAATATCTTAGCTGATTCTCCAAAACAGCAAGAAATGCCCCATGGAAGACTCATGAGATGTTACATCACACCTTGTTATGCTACAAGCCATAGCTAGGGCAGTAAACGGTTCCTAGTTCTTTTGCCTCGATGAAGAAAAGTTCTTGAAGATGTCAGCCATGCTAACAGAGTGTCCGTGGAGACAGGGCGATCGTTAGTGAAAGGGATGAAGTTTTAAAAACTCCCCCTTCACATGAAGGAAGAATCCTTTCGATAGATCCTCAGAGATTGCTTGATTTACCCGTGGAGGACAGAGTGGCTCAGCAAGGAGATACCTCGGGACTTGTTCTCTTAGAGCTCATCAAATCCCTTCCCGACCTTGTCTGCCTGCTCTGTATATTTGGCCCCAGGTTGGAGATCAATGGGGCAGAGGTAGTCCCATATGAAAGCCATGACGCTTTGAAGTTGCAAGGCATTTTTTTTAACCTCAGTAGAACATTTCTAGGAGTGCAGTGAGAACTTCAAAGACGGCTGCGACCTGGATGAGCAGACAGCCACAGACCCTCTGCTGCTTACATACAAGACTTGGCTCCCACTGCCAGCATCCTCATGAGTCTTCCATGGGGCATTTCTTGCTGTTTAAATCTCTTTACCCAGAAGCAGGATCATGGGCCCTTGTCTCTGGCCTGAAAAATGGCACGACCCTCAATTAGCTCTAATCCGCACCACCAGACCCGTGACCTCATTTGTGTTTCCTGGACAACTTTCTCTAATTAAACAGTGGAAATGCCAGCTTTTAATCTCTGTAAGCTTCTGCCCATCTATCTTGACCCAAAACAGTCAAAGCTGCAGCAAAAGTCTCCTCTTCCCTTTAAATAAGTATAAAAAGCCATATTATCTGAACTGATAGATATGAGATCATGATTTACAAATGACTTTTGGAGGAAAATTTTCCATCGCTTGTTAAACCCTTTGTTTTTAGGTATTTAAAAATATTTTTTACTTTTGTCTTTTCATTTTTTACTTCAGGTATTTGTTTTATCTTTCATGGTTCAAAAGAAAGTATTTTACTTGATTTTAAAGTGTATTCAAAAACAATAATGAGGTTTAGCTATCTTAATAAAATCTCCAAAAAGTACAGGAAAAGTCTGTCTCCTGAATGCAGAAATAATTCTTTTTTTGAGTCTCTCTCTGGAGTTTTTATGAGCTGATTGTCTGGCTAGATTGTTTCTCACTAGATGTATATGTCTCCATTTTTGGCGTTTTCTTTCAAAAAAAAAAAAAAATGAAAAACATCTATATGGAATTTGTGTCGTATCACCCCCTTCAAAAAGGTCAGATTTGAACCATCTCTAGGGACAAAGAGACATCGATGGATGAAGGAATCCAAGAAACGGAGGGTTAAGGTACTGATACAAGACCTCCTTACAGATCTCCCACGATCTATAAAAAAACACAAAACCATAGTTTTGTCCAAGAATAAACCTGCATATACATATAAAACAAAATGTGTATCAGTTTTAGCTGCATCAAATGTGGCACAGTGGCCCAGTAATTAGGACTCTTGCTTTACATCTCCAGGACTGGGGGCTCACAATATGCAATAATAGTAACACATTGATCAAAAGTGAGGGTTTGGCATGGAACCCCAATGTTTCGTAGATGCAGGGGTGTAGCAGGGTCAGTCGCTGGGGCACGTGCACCCTCCATCTTTGTGTTTCTCAGGCCCGTCGACAGCTTGCCACAGCCAGATCTGACCGGTTATCTAGTGTAACCTACATACTGACCTATCAAAAACCTTTTTACTACAAATGGATGTCAGGTAAACTGTGACAGACTGGCATCACTTCCAGGAAGCTCCCCTGCATTTTCTTATGTGCTGCCTGCACTAGGTCCCCCCACCCCTTCTGGGAAAAAATCGAGATATCCAGCCTGCCCTGCTGCCTGCAACGGCCCTACTACCTGTGAAGTCCTTCCTGCCTGTCTGCCCTGCTGCCTGTGAAGCTCCTGCTACCTGTGAAGTCCTTCCTGCCTGTCTGCCCTGCTGTCTGTGAAACTCCTACTACCTGTGAAGTCCTTCCTGCCTGTCTGCCTGGCTGCCTGTGAAGCTCCTGCTACCTGTGAAGTCCTTCCTGCCTGTCTGCCCTGCTGCCTGTGAAGCTCCGGCTACCTGTGAAGTCCTTCTCTGCTGCCTGCCCTGCTGCTGTACCACCGC